TCGCCATCTTCGACGCCTGGGGGGGGTGGGAGTGCGGGGGAGATGGAGGTGTGGCAGATTGTTGTTGTATGTGGAGGGGGTTGGGTTTCTGTCAGGGGGGGGTGGGGGGGGGGGGGGGGGGGGGGGGTGGTTGTTGTACTGCCACTTTGACCATTCAAAATTGCATCTTGATTTGCAGTTTGAAGTTTCGTTCCGCTCGGGGCTAGTGTCTCGACTTTTAAGGTTGCACAGGCATATCCTTGACAACTGACCAACATCATCAGCAACTAGTTGCTCAAAGAGAGAGAGATGCATTACCAGAGATACCTATTGAATTTCGCTCAGGGGGGGAACACAACCACTCACAAAGGGAGGATGCACAACTGCAAAAGGGATGTCAGGGATGTCAGGGATGTTTAGGCAACAGGCAAATGACAAATGGCTGAAGGACTTAAAGTGGCTCACAGATACAATATTTTATGCACACATTTAGATAGATTTCAGCTTGACCCACCCAGGAGTAAAATATCACCTTGGACATAGATAAAAGACGGACAACTGCCGCTGCTGCTGCTGGGATTCATCCTTTAGCCTCCCTTGCAGCATAAATACGCAGAACACGCGATCAAGGCGATGTCTAAAGCTATTTCTGAAGAAAACTTGTGGCCCTGCTGGCATGGCTATTATTCTGATGCGTATTGCCGAGGGCTTAGATATTTATTCCAGGAATTCTCAATGCTTTTTTGCGTCAATATGGGACACATAATGCTGGTCCATATTGACGTTGGTTCAACAGGACACGACGACACTGCCATCCGCTCCCCACCGTCAATCGTCACGCGGATGGCGAACAAAAAGCAAGCGAGAAATTAATTACAAGCAAAAGGCGACGACAACAACAACGGCCAGGCGGGGGGGACTTGGACACCGAGTGGGTGGCATTGGGGTAGAAGCTTGGGGCGTGGACCAGCGAACGCATGGCTTGGAACGTGCCACATGGCCAGGGCCAGATTCAAAGTACACAAAGATAACTGTGCGTATGGCTAAAGGTAACTATGTGGCAGAGTCATCGCTGTGGGGCTTCACACGGTTCGAGCAGGAACCTCTGCCAGGTGGCAGCCTTAAATTCAATTTGATAGTGGAACCTTCATCCTTTGTTGCTTATCCTCACAAACTTCATCTAAACTCTACACTTTCTTCACTTTCTTTCGCAGCCTGCCACCGCCTTCGCCGGCTCCCACGCCCACCAAGGGTTTCGATGGCAATTTTAAGCTGGAACCGAATCTCAGTGTCAAGGACTTTGCGCTGCCCCCAGAGTCCACGTCGATGAATGGCACAGGGAATGGCAATGGGAATGGTGACTCTGCCTCGGCGACCTCTGTGGCTATGGTAACGCCCACACCGCCGCAACGTAAGCGCTACAAGAAGCGGGTGCAGTTCTCCACGGACTCGCTGAATGGATATGCGGGCGGTAAAGCAACCAAAGGGGGAGCAGGAACTGCACCAGGATCGGCAGCAGCTGGTGGCTATCACAGTGGCTATGCCAAGTCCAAGAAGCAGGAGGCCAAGGCAGCGGCGGCCGCCTTGAAGGCCGGAGCAGCTGCAGCGGCGGCAGCAGCGGCGGCTGCGGCTGCCGCCAACTCCTCGGCCCTTCCCGAGGTCCTCGACTGCCGCATCGCCGAGAAGATAAAGAGCGAGCTGGAGGCGAGCGCCAGTGCTGGCGGCAAGGAGCCGGCATCCCTGCCCAGCGCCCTCTGCCTGAAGAAAGCCGCAGCGGCGGCAGCTGCGGCCGCGGCGGCAGCAGCAGCAGCGGGCAGTGAAGAGGATGACGAGGAGGAGCATTCGCATTCGCATCCACATCAGCAGCATCCACATCTGATGGGTGCCGGCATGGCCATACCCTTGGGCGTCGCCGGAGGCGTGGAAGTGACAGCCAAGACGGGTGCAGATGCTGTGGACGGCACCGCAGCCAGCAACGGGCAAATAGGCAACTTCCATGTGCGCTCCAAGAGCCATGGCGGTGGCAAGAAGTCGCAAGCCGCAAAGGCAGCAGCAGCGGCGGCAGCAGCAGCCGCTGCGGCCGCAATGATGCCACCAAATTCCAGCTACGACGAACCGGAGGATGAGTCGGCAACGGGCGGAACGGTCGTCAACGAGGAGGAGGACGACGATGATGAGGAGCTGGACGAGGAGGCGTTGGCACGCGAAATGAAAATGGAGCAAAACTTTGTGGAGGAGGAGGACGAGCATGATATTGCATTCCGGTCGCAGCAATCCTGCCGCGAGTGCTCCATCACGCACGACCACAAGCTGTGTCCGCTGCGCAATGCCTGCGGCAATGTGACGGATGCCGTCGATCTGGCCGAGTGGATCGAGCGCCGGAATCTGGAGGCGCTGGCCAAGCTGAAGGCGGACGCGCACCGCCAGGCGAAGCGGGGCCGTGGTCCGCGTCACGACGACGATGAGGATGACATGGAGGACATGGACATGGACGAGTCGTCGCAGCTGTCAGAGCTGGAGACCAAGCCGCTAATAACCTTCGCAGAGGCATCGGTGCCCGCCGAGTTTGAGCTGCACAACGTCGAGCCAAATGTCACTGGGGTCTTTGCCCGCACCGAGGTCCGAGCGTACACCAAGCTGGGGCCGCTCATCGGGCAGCCGGTGCAGACGGGCGAGGTGCGCGAGGGCAGTGACATGAGGTGGATATTCGAGATGTGCGAGGCCGGAGCGGACAAGTCGTACCTTCTGTGCTGCGACAATCCCAATGCCTCCAACTGGCTGCGCTTCATACGGCCCGCACCCTGCTACGACGATCGCAATGTGAATCTCGTGTCCATCGATCAGCAGGCGTACTTTGTCAGCTGTCGCGATCTGCGGAACGGCATGGAGCTGCTCTACTGGAGCGACGACTGCAACACTATGTGGCGCAAGAAGCACACGGAGAAGATCAGTAAGTATCGATCCCCGAACGATAACCTTGATCCTCCTTTGCAAATCTTTAATTCGTTCCCATTCGTTTCGCTTGCCACAGACTGCGGCGGTTGCAACCTGAAGTTCGAGCATCCGCTCTACTATCGCACCCACTGCTCTGTCTTTCATGATCCATCGATGAGCCTCACCATCCGAAAGTATCACTGCAAGGTGTGCGGCGAGGCTGTGCTGGGCAAGGACAACATTATGAAGCATGCCGCAGAGAAGCATGACGGCAAGGGTGCCTATCAGTGTCAGTTTTGCAACAAGTTCTTTCTGCGCCTCAACTACCTGGAGATGCATCGCACCTATGGCTGTGCCTCCAATCCGAATCGATCGCGTCCCGTCTGCGATTTCTGTGGCCGCAAGTTCTGTCAGCCACAAAAGCTCAAGGCGCATATCAAGCGCATGCACAGTGGTAAGTAATAGAGTGCCAGATCGATGCCCGATCGAACACCTGAACCCCCCACCAGCCAAGCCCAATGTGATAATCGTAACTGTGATTGTAACGTAGTCGTATCGTAAGCGTATCGTAATATATAGAGTACGCATAGTGAGTGCTAGTGTGTCATGCCAAATACAAATAGCAAATAAAAATAAAACAGATCTGCAAGTCTAGTGTGTTCAGCTTGCCAGCACGGTTGCAGCCAGAGTAACGAGTATGCCCAACGAGTGTGCCCATTGGTTATACCTTGATTTTATTTGTAAATGCTCATTGAATGTTGGTTTTTATGTTGTTGCTGGCAAATTTCAAATACAATTTTCGGTGCTTGAGTTTGTGGGTTACAAAAGCTCGCGCCTAGCGAGTGCGCTCAACGAGTGCAGTTGAATTATTTTTGTATATTTTGTTTGCTTTAGTTTGTGGAGCAGCTGGCAACCGTGTTCGAAAGCTCATATATCGTATCGTATCACATATTTGCAACATTGTGTATCGTAACTATTGTATGTATCGTATGTACGTTATCGTAAGCTCGCATTGAACTCACATCGTACAAACTGCTTCTGCATATCTAGACATCAGTCAGTATTCGTACCTTTATTATAGTATCGTAAATCACAAACACACACCCACAACAGTATCGTATGTAACTACTAATAGCGTAACCAATCGCTTAGCTGTAAAAAACTAACCATTTGAAAACTGTAACAGTTTAACTTTGTATAAGCAATGCCAACCCCCAGCCAAACACACACGTACACAACACAGATAGAGATACATCAATACAACATCCAGAAAGATACTAAACCAATATAGATACAGCTTACAGATACATTTAATATAACACCAAGCATAAGCATCTGCGATCGCTCATCACTCTTTTAATTTTGCCTTCATTTTTCTTGAGTTGTAAAACGCCTAAATTGGTCGAAATATGTACAACTTATCTTCTCTTTTGATTTTAATTTGTGTTTTGTGTTTTGTGTTTAGATCCAGTGTTTTCTTTGTTTGTTTGATTAGTTGATTCATCAATTTATGTACTTATAACGTATGCCAAGAACACACTAACAAATTCCAACTGTTGTGGCTAAAGGTCTGAAAAAAAAAAAGAATACTCATACCTGCAGCCTCAAAAATGAATAAATAAATTGACACAAAATAGTCACAATTTTCCACATCCTTCAGTCCTTCAGTTGGAACCATTTATCGACGATTTTTAAACCCGACCCCGTCTTGTATTCTCGATTGTAAACTGCATTGTGTAAGACGCTTTTAGTGAATGATTTTTGCCTTGATTCTGTTCATTCATTTGGCCTTCATATTTTCAGTTAATATTGGTTGTTACATGTGGTAAAATAATATAGTTTTTGCATTTGAGTTGTCCAAAGTATTATGATTCATGGACACAATATATGCCCACCAACAACCACCCCACCCCACACCCCTCTGATCCGTGTCTTATGTGTTTTAGCTTTTTGTTCGTTCGTTGGGTTCTGGTTTCTGGTTTTCCGGATTTGTTGTGTATAATTAAATTAATTCACTAAGTTTCTTTCAAAATCACCACAATCCGAAAATTTCATTTTCTTCATACAATTTCATTTTAGATATGGCTGAAGTTTTACGAGATTTTCAGTGTAAATTATGTTCAAAACTTCTAGGATCGCGTGCGGCACTGCAGCGTCACTCGAAGGAGGTGCACAGCCGCAACTCCACCGTCGTGAGCTGTCCACGCTGTCAGAAACTCTTCCAGAATCGCAGTAATCTCAAGATCCATATGCTGACCCACTCCGGTGTGCGTCCATTCAAGTGAGTCAGCCATGCCATTCCATTCCATCCCATCGCATCCTTTACTCATCATTGTCCTTACCCCTTTTTGTAGATGTGCGGAGCCCGAATGCAATGCGGCATTCACCACCAAACAGTGCCTGCAGTTCCATTACAAGAAGGTGCACAACTACACGCAGGAGCAGATGCCAAAGATTGAGCGGAGTGTGGCCTACACGTTCGATGCCTATTCCGGCGGTATGAAAGTGGACTTTCTGGGTAAGCCGCAGCAGCCGCCGCCGCCGGAGTCACAGCTGCCTAATGCAGCTGTCGTCTCCTCCTCCTCCTCCACAGAGCAAGCACCGCGGAGGCGGCGCAAGAGCCTTGAGGACCAGAACTCGATGCTCAGCAGCTCAATGCAGAGCGACACGGAGTTTAGCGATGACAACATCTTCGAGGCCATCAAGAAGAGCGGCAAATCGATCAAGGATCTGTGCCGCAACGAGCCGAATCTCTCGCTGCTCAGCTCCAAGATTTCCAGCATTTTCGGTGAGAAGGTGCCCGTGGTGGCAGTCCCAGTGCCGGTTGCCCAGCCCTCGGCCGGCGTCTCGCTCCCACCCGTTGGCGCTGGCCGCAAGCGAAAGCGCAAGAAGGAGCCAGCCAATTCCACAACCGCCCAACAGCAGCAGCAGCAGCAACAGGCGGCCCTCCAGCAGCAGCAGGCGCAGCTGCATCAGCAGCAGCAACAGCTGCAACAGCACCAACAGCAGCAGCAACAGCACGAGCAACAGCAGCAGCAACTGCACCATCAGCCGCTGCAGCAACAGGCCTCACTGCAACACCAACCACTGCAGCAGCAGCAGCAGCACCAACAGCAGCAGCAGTCGCAATTGCATCACGAACAGTCCTCCCACCAGCAGCAGCAACAGCAACAGCAGCAACAGCCGCCGCCACAGTATCATCCTCACCACCTGCATGCCCACTCGCTGCCTCACCAGCAGCAGCCGCAGCAGCAACAGCTGCATGGCACCGATCCCGACGATGACGAGGAGGCGGAACAGGTGCGCCTCGAGCAGGTGCGTCGCAAGCAGAACGCACAACTCAGCCTGGTCGAGTCCTTCCTGACGACCACCGCCCAGCGGTTAAGTGCCCAACAGCAGGTGCAGCAGGTGGTGGCGGCCGCAGCGGCTGTTTCGGCCATGGCCGGAGCCGGCGATGATCCCGCCAAGCTGGGTCACATGATGGTCGGCCACATGGGCGTCGGCGTTGGTGTGGGCGTGGGCATGGACGATGAGGATGACGACGACGAGGAGGAGGACGATGGCAGTTCGGCCAATCATCCTGCCAGCGGTAGCCATCCACACCAGCAGCACGGCCATCCACACGGCTCGCATCCGCACTCACACTCGCAGTCACACTCCCATCCGCATCCTCACTCCCATTCCCACTCCCATGCGCACGCCCATCCGCATCATGCCCATGCCCATGCCCACAGCCACGCCCACAGCCACCAGCACTCCCAGCAGGGGGCAGGGGGCCAGCAGCAGCAGCAGCCCCACGGTGGGGATCCCAGTGCCTCGTACCGCCATGCGGCGGCCATGAACGCGGTGGCCCTTGGCCAGAATCTAGTCGTCACCAAGGGCAGCAAGAAGTGGATCGGTGCCGATGATCGCCATCTGGGCGATGTGGCCAGCGACGTGGCCGGCAACGACTCAGGCCCGGGCTCGGGAAACGGTCTGCCCGGCAACGCTGGCGCCGGCCAGGACCTGGGCTTTGCGGTGCCACCCAGCGCCGTGGATGAGCACAGCAAGCTGCTTGGCCAGAACCGTGACTTCCTCGCCCGCCTCATGAGTACGGCCAGCGCTAGTCACGCCCACGCCCATGCCCATGCCCACGCGCACGCCCACCAGCATCAGCACCAGCAGCAGCACAGCGCCCACAGTCGGGAGGAGGATGAGAACAGCTCCTTCCTGGATGTCGTCGAGTCGGCCAACAACAATGCAGCCGCGGCAGCCGCTGCAGCAGCGGCCATGTCCCAGTACCATCACAATGCGGCAGCCAATGGTGGTGCAAGCGGAGGACCAGGTGGCCCAGGAGGCGGCGGCGGCGGCGGTGGCGGTGGCGTACCCAGTGGCGGACATACACCCACGGGACCGGCCACTGGCGGCGGTTCGGTAACATCCTCCAACGACGGACCCGGCCAAATGCAAATGAACTCCCTGACGCATCCGCAGTCCTTCATGAGCTCCTTCTATAACAATGCGAACGCAAGACTGACCGGAGCCGGTGTGGGCGTGGGCGGAGGCTCCTCGTCCGCCAGCATGCTGGTGGAGGCGGCCCTCAATTCCGTCGGCAATATGATTGACAGCGAGAGCAGCGACCTGAAGGTGATTTTTCTTTTAAAATTCTCTAGCAAATATGTACAGGGCCAGCAAGAGTTTTGGCAGCAAAACAACCGCACGGGGCATGGGTCCCCATGAGTCCGCAATTGGGACTACTTTCACTCTCTTATGGAGTGGAATACATGCCACAATCTCCATTGATATCCACAAGATCTTGGGGATTGTACAGAAAAATCTACGAACTTTTACAGAATTTTGAATTCGTGTCGATAGAATGGATAGTCGAAATGTTCTACCATTTGTGGGCAATAACCTGCCTATATACAGGAGCAATTTGTACAAATTATCTAAACGTGAGACGACAACGAAGTCTCAACAAAGAAAATGAGAGCGTTGGCTGAATACATTCCAATAGCAAAAGCTGCACTAGATTTGTCTTCAAAAATATCAAACTTTATTGATTGTTAATTGAATTGTGTAATATTTGCAATCCATTCTCCCGATCAGGTACCCACCGATAATCACATCAATAGCGACAGTCCCATGAGCGCCCATGTGGATGCCGAGGCGCAACGCTTTGGCGCTGGCAGCGCTGCCGGCGGAGTCGTAGGAGCTGGCGGTGGCGGGGGCGGTGGCAGCAGTGGAGGCTCATCGAGTGCGGCCAATGGAACGGGCATTGGAGGCGCCATGGATAACCTGGAGAATGAGCTGAAGATGATGAAGAATCTGGGCAGCTTCCCCATGCAAATACCGCCGCTGCCCATGTTCCAGGGTGCGTGCAACATCTCGCCCAGCGCCTCGACGCCGACCAATCCGCAGAGCAACCAGAACCAGAACGATGTGGATGTGGATGCGGGCAGTACACCGCGACCACATCATCCCGATTCCGATGGCTTCTCTTCGTCGCACCACCGCACGCCGCCCTCGCCGCCGCCCATCTCGCCGGGCCGCGACTATGGTGGAATGTTCGGCTCAGGCAATGGTGCGGGGGGTCCAGGATCCAATAGCACGCCAGCAGGCAGCTCCAGTGCCGTCGGTGGAGGCGGCGGAGGTGGTGGTGGCGGTGGGGGTTCTGGGGGTGGAGCCAACAGCATGTCGGCCTCGTCCCCGCTGCCCGCCCTGCAGCCACAGCGGCGCAACGCGTCGAGCGTGGGCAGCACATATCCTGAGCACGAGCTCATCTCGCCGGCCTCCTCGCCGAGCATACCGCGCTACAACTTCAATGGGGACATGATGCGCCATAAGCGGGCGGTGCAGGAGCAAGACCAGCACGAGCAACGCCAGCGGCACAACCTCTCGCGGCACAATCAAATGTCCAGTGATGAGGAGAACAGCATCATGCCACAAAACAGGTACACTACATTTGTTACTTGTTCATTTAAGTATATTTTCGTACTCATTTCTCGCTACTCGTTACTCGCTACTTTGATTGTCAACAAAACGATTACTCTGTTTCTGTACTTCTAGCAGCGCCGGCCAGGACATGCGCATGAAGTTCCCCCAGTCACAGATCGACCTCATGTACTCCAAGTACGAAAGCATGGCCAGCAACCTGAAGTACAACAGCCAGGAGCTCGACTCGCCGGCGGAGTATCGCCAGAGCAGCAACAGCAATGCGGCGAGTGCGGCGGCGGCTGCTGCCGCTGCAGCGAGTGCGGCCAATGATCTGTCCGATCTGCAGGGCCTGGACATGAGTTCGCGTTCGAACGCGTCGAGCAACTATCACCACAACTTCCAGCTGCCAAGCAGTCGCTACCATCATCACATTTACGATATACTGTCGGACCGGGAGCAGAGTCAGCAGGCCCAGGCCCAGGCGCAAGCGCAGGCACAGCAGGCAACGGGTGCATCGGTGGTGCACCAGCAGGAGCACGGACACGGCAGCCAGCTGGCCATGCAGCAGCATCAGTCGGCGGCTGCCATGCACAACATGCTAAGCGAGCAGCTGGGCGAGCAGGAGCACGACCAGACCACATCCGTGGACCTGAGCCGCACCGCCAACTATGTTGTGTCGTCGCCGCCACAGCTGCCGTACAACCATCCGCATCACGACATGCTGCGAATGGCCTCGCTGGACCTCACACCGAACACGGCCAACATGGCCGTGGGCAACAATCGGTCGTTCCTCTCCACGCAAATGCAGCACCAGAGCCGCGATACCCTAGAGCACCATCGCCTGCTCTCCACCGTCGAGCAGCATCGCATTCTGGCCGCCTCGAATGCCGCCGACCAGCATCGCCTGCTGGTGGATCCCACTGCCCATCTGCTGATGGAGCAAAACAATCGTCTGCTGGGCACCGCCGATCAGTCCCGCCTGCTGGGCGAGTCGGCGGCGGCAGTGGCCCAGAATCGTCACATGGCACGCAGCTTTGGGGCCTACCATCAGGTGGCATCGAGCAACTACCATCCGGGCGTACGACCGCCGCCCGTACTACCCTCAGCGAATCATCATGCCTCGAGTCCGTCAAACTATCATCCCTTCCCCGCCTACTACTAAGGGTGAGACTATGAAAACTAAGTATATACTGTGGTATGACGATGAGTTGCCTGGGACAATAGTGCAATACCTAGAAGGAGGACTCCATTTCACGTAGTTCAATTCGAAGCGCAACAATAACTCTACTTCTACGCCCATCAATCTCCTTTTTCGAGCTACAATTTCAAAGTGTGCCAATCCATTTAAGTGTTTAGATCCTGTTTAAAATTTTGTGTGTGGCATTTGGCATTCTCCTCACCATTCGACGGCTGGCAAACACACCCACAAATATGTATAGTTGTATAGGAAGCATAAAAGATAAATATTATAAATATATTAACAGTAAATGTAAAGCGAAAATGCTAAAACATAATGGACACAGCAGAAAGCCTGCAGCAAAGAATTTTTTTAAAAGAAAATTTCCAGCTGAGTTTGTATAGGAACAACAACAAAACAAAACCAAAAGAAAAATGGAAAATGCTAAACATGCAAAAAGAATATTAAATTATATTAGTAATAATAATTATGATGATAATGATAATATTTTTACACCATGAGAGACGAGTAAAGCGTATATTAACGAGTACAAAATGTGTTGGCAGATCCGGCAGAAAACCCAATCCCATGCAGTCCCAGTACCCTACTCCCGTTAAGCCGAAAATCCAGCAAACTCGGCGAATGAAAGGAGGAAATAATAAATGATATATGTATATTGATAGTGAATACATAGGCGTACATACATACATACTGGCATATACATGTATACATGATGACCTCTCGTTTTTTTTTTTACCTACTATTTTATTATAAATATTATGGATAATGGCGTTTCAGCGTTTCTAGTCAGACAATGGGGGCTACATAGCCATATACATATAAACCACACACATATATAATAATAATAATAATAAATGTACTAAATGGTATATGAAATATGGTATAAAAGATAGCAAGTAAATAAGTTATAATTTCATGTAAATTATTAAATTTATAAGCCGCAGAGTGCGATAAGGCAAAACACACACACAAAACATTAACCAAAAAACAAAGTATCTAAAATCTGAAACGATATACAACACACATGCCAAGAAAAACCAAACCAACAAACAAATAATGATAACAATAAGAAAGCGTGAATGGTATATACACACACAAACACACACACACAGAAATCGCTGATCGAATTATATATATATACACAGACATATATATACATACATATGGAGTAATCAAATTATCGATTATTAATAAAAAGCAACCAAAAAACGTATTTCGATAAGCAGCATTCATTCGATAGTTAAACTCTAGACAGCAGGCCTGTCAGACCACCTCTTGGCAGCCTTTTCAGTCACACATCCATCATTGATATTTATTTATTTCAACACAAAATTTTCGGTTGTTCCCAAACATGAGTAAGGATTTGGAGTACGAGTACAATCGGAATAACAAAGTTTGGGACCGCAACGAAACTCACACACGCGCAGACGCCCTAACTGAGGGATTTGTGGGTCTAGTGGCCATCGGGAGCGTAACGGCGATCGCGACTGGTATACTAACGGCGCGCGACAGAGCCGGCCTGAAGTCAGCCGCTACGAAAGTACGTAATACATTTGCTAATTTTGTGCGTGGCACTGCAAAACCGCAAGTCTCTGCCCCTGATGCTACACGGAAACTAAGAGCATTTGAAAAGATTGACCTTGGACTGCGGGAAGGGACGGACTTTGCTGCATATAAGAAAAAGTCACAGATATCGTGTCTTACCGCGCAACTAACGTCTTCTACTTTAGCAGACAGTGTGCCTACGACTGAAACAAAACAATTAAAGAGAGCACGAGAAGCAGCCGCCAAAAAGGCGTCCGATTCGATAGTGTCCCGTTACTTGGACACGTCAGTTGTACAGTATCCAAAGCATCCCATAGATTGGTCAGCAGGTTTTGAAGCTAAGCAAACCACGTTGCGGGTCGGGAGAAGTGTGCCCCCGATATTTCGTTCAGGCACCACACAAGTTGGAAAGTCAGTTGAAAAACCAGACGTGGTGACACGAGATAAATTACGTCGATTGAAAATATATAGAAATTTGGGACAATTTGCTGAAACACAGCGACCAAAGGTGACGCCTGGAATATTTGAGGTAACAGTTCCTGAAGCAGTGGAAGTAACAACAACAAAAGAAGCAGATATAACAGTAACCAGTAAATTAACAGCCGCCACTGGACAAGCGGACTTAACAGCCGCCACTGATATAACAGCCGCCACTGGACAAGCGGACTTAACAGCCGCCACTGGACAAGCGGACTTAACAGCCACAGGTAAATTAGACATAACCGCCGCCACTCATAAAGTAGACATAACAGAAAGCTGTACATTAACAGAGGGAGAAACTGCCAAGCGTTCGTTTACAAATAAAGAGAAGCAGCCAACGACCAGCAACAAAAAAAACAGACGCAGCAAAAGCAAGAGCGTTAACGATCGGAGCACTGCCGATCGTTTGATGATGACGAAACCCAATAAACAACAATAACAAGAAAAGAGAGCAGCAGGCAGCAGTGTCATGACGCCAACGCCGCCAGAGACGATGTCAGAGAGAACGAGCCAAAACAAAGAAGAGAAACCAACACGCGAATCATGGATGCCGGGCAGGGGGTCAAAGCGAACAATTAAGAAAGATGTGAATCCAACGCAACCACCACCAACACCGCTTCTACCCCCGCCATCCGAAGAGAAATCCAAGCAGATGGGGGTACCGCGAGAGCCAAAGCAAACCACAAATCATGAGAAACCGCCGTCGTTACCGGCGACACAGCCACGAGTCGGCTCCAGCCGAGTGGGCAGCTCCGTACTGATAATGGCCCCCGACGAACTGCTCGATGCATATGAGCAGGCGGTGCTGGAGGCCGAGGCCGAGGAGGAGAGCGAGCAGAGCGAAAACGAGCGTCGCGAATCGCAGCGCAGCGGTAGCAACAGAAAACTCAGTCCACTCTCGACGCTCGAAGCCGTTCGTGACGGCCTCCTCTTTATATTCGGCAAACTCTTAAGATTCGTACGGCGCCTCGACATGCATGGAGGCGGTACCGGGAACAACATCAACTTCGTGGAGGGGCTCATCGACTTCCTGGCGGGCTCATTGGGTGCATACACACAAAGTTCTGTCAATGTAGTGCGAATAATACTAATGGACCTTTCTCCCCCATCATAACATAGGCGGGGCCGCACAGGTGTATGTCTCGCAGCCGCTGGACACGGTCAAGGTGAAGCTGCAGACCTTCCCGGAGGCCTATAAAGGAATGTTCGACTGTTTCGTGAGCACGTATCGCAAGGATGGCATATTCCGGGGCCTGTATGCGGGTTCCCTGCCCGCCGTCGTGGCCAATGTGGCCGAAAACTCGGTGCTATTTGCCGCCTACGGCGGGTGCCAGAAGTTTGTCGCTTTCATGGTCAACAAAGAGACGACCGGCGAGCTGACGACCACCCAAAATGCCTGTGCCGGCTCCCTGGCCGCCTGCTTTTCCACGCTCACCCTCTGCCCCACGGAGCTGATCAAATGCAAGCTCCAGGCCTTGCGCGAAATGAAGCACTTTATCGAGCCCAGTCATCCGCAGGATATGCGTACGCCATGGTCCCTCACGCGGTACATTTGGCGCACGGAAGGTAAGTGGTAGGTGGCCACCCAGCCCCCACATATAGCCCACACGTATCATGATTGTTGTCCCGCGGCAACACTCGAGATTAGATTATCTTAGCGTGGCGTTTTTCAGCAATCTAGAAGTTATTCTCCATAATTCATAATTATCGCATCGCAATGCGATGCCCGATATGGACAACAGAACCCGACACTCCCCTCCACATGGTTTTACAAGATCACTGCTATGGCGTTGCCAGACAAACCCATTTGAAGGTTAGTTTTTGAAACTTTTTTTTTTTTTATTTTGTCATTTTCAATTAGCAAAGGTAGCCCCAGAGGCAGAAACATTACAAAATAGAATATATTTTTTAGGTGTTTCCAACATTTTCCAAATCATTATTGGTTGGTTGAAAGCAACACAAAAATCTACATTTAAAATAGATTTTCAAATGAGTTTTCAGGGGTTTTTTCGCACACATCTCATAAAAATATTAGTCAAAAACTGTCTTCGGAATTATGTCTATAAAACAGGAAGCGAAAACTCTTCTATATTTTTAGAATCTCATTAAAGTATATTGCAAAACATGCGATAAGTAGCAGAGATTAATGCCTCCACATCGCTTAAATCTAATCGAAACTGAATGAGTTGTCAGCCTTCATTTGTTCTTAAACAATAAGAAAAGTCAAAAGAATGAATAATATTTACTACAGCAAATTATGAATTACTTGATATTTGATAAGAAATATTCTCAGCCTTCGTACATGCCACGCATAATGACGTAGCACAAGAGCGAGTGAGAGGCAGATAGGGCAAGTTTGTGGATAATACATAAGCACAAATAATTGAGAGTGGTGCCCCAGCCCCAATCAGTTGTCAAGTGGAAAGTTACTGAATCCGTCCCTCCGTCCGTTCGACATTTCTGCTGACAGCTGCAAGATCAATGGCGGGATGCATGGAGCGGGAGTGGGGGTACGGGTACGCATGCAACGCGGCCATGTAACGTAGTAATTTCCATAAATAGTGAACAAACGGAATGGCCTCCTCACGTGCCAATCTGTTTCCTCCTTCTCTCTCGATCTCTCTCTATCTCTCTCTCTCTCGCGCGTTTGTCATTGCATTTATTTTCCACGCATAATCCATTAAATGCCTTTAATCTTCTCTAAACGCGGGGCACACACAGGCTTGCGCGGCTTCTATCGCGGCTTGAGCTCGACATTCATGCGTGAGATGCCCGGCTATTTCTTCTTCTTTGGCAGCTACGAAGGCACCAGAGAATTTCTGCGGAGGTAAGGGAACAACAGTTCAACGATACCATCAGCATTCATTTAATCCTTTTCATTTTGTATCACTGCAGGAACAATCAAACCAAAGATGAAATCGGACCATTGCGCACAATGGTGGCGGGCGCCATTGGCGGCGTCTGTCTGTGGACCTCCACGTTTCCCGCCGACGTAATCAAGAGCCGCATCCAGGTGAAGAACCTCAATGCCAGCATGTACGCCGTCGGTCGTGAGATTGTACAAAACGAGGGCGTCCTGGCACTCTACCGCGGTCTGCTGCCCTCCGTTCTCCGCACCATACCGGCCACGGCCACACTCTTTGTCGTTTACGAGTACACCAAGCGAGCGCTTCATGGCACCCTCTAACGACACCTGGTGGCGCGGGCGGTCGCCGTCATCGTTGTCGTCTTCATTGCCATAACTCTTACGCGCCGTTTTTTTTTTGTCGTTTAGTTAGATAATTTGTATATATTTAGTGTGTGTGGCCTCCGTCTGTGTACATTATTCAGATATCATATGACTGACTATATATCCATGCTGTTTGCAATCGATGTTGATTTTCTGAATGTTTGGATTGCTGATCCGCGGATCCTGGTCTTAGATCCCGGCCGCCTGGCGCAGGCGTCGCTTAAGAAAGTCACGTCGATCCGCGAATGTTTCCAGTTCGCGCCACTCGTTCCAATTCATCTACGGAAAGCCAATGGGTATTAGTATTTTATGGTATATGTAGTTTAAGTAAATAAAGATATGTACAATAGATGTAAACAAATATGTTGTTATTTTATTCATTATCTATTTGTGATGATCTTCACTTAAGTGAAATGTTACTTATACTGTTTCCCTGTTCTTCTAATTCTTCCATGTTCTTGGAGCGGCATTTACAAGTTTTATAGTCGCAAATACGAGTCAAAACTGAGCAGAGGCATGGCCTTCTTTTATGATTAAAATGAGAGCAAAGTTACAAACTATTTTAATCCAATAAAGGACTCAGAGCATTCCTAAAGTGCTCGCTGGTAGTAGATACACAAAACGTTTACTTTTTATCCACGATTCCCATGCCTTCATGTACATATTTTCCTGCACTCTATGGATTTATGAATGTGCATAATGATCGGATAAGGCGGAAAACTTTATCTGTAAATTGCCCCTCATTTTTTCTCACATTTTCCATGGGAACATTTAAATTGAAATTGTATTTTGGAGCCACTCACCACCACCGGCTGATGGCCCAATTGCTTGAGCTGTTTCACCTTCATTGCCAGCTGTCCCGTGTGCCGCTGCTTGTCTCGTATCACATTATTCCAGCCAGCAACCACAATGATAACGGTGGCCAGATGCTCATCGTGCTCTCTGTCAGGACCCAGCAGATGCCGCCTGGTTAGCATTGTGCCGCTGTAGTCCGGAGGACAAGAGTCTGCATCGATGGGCAGTGAACGCTGCTGTCGAAGATCATAGCAGAACACCAGATCACAACGCTCGTACTGGGGCAAAATGTGCTTGAAGCTGAGGTGTCGGTAGAGGTCGGAGACCGCGTCCCGAATGTCCACCAGAATGCGATCGGTCTTGTTCAGCTTGAAGCGTCCCTCCCGTTCGGGTATGTACTGTGTGTACTGCTTGCCCATCTGCTGAATCTGCCGCTCGGTGAGGAGGTGGCCCTTGTACACATCTCCGCCCAGGAGGCGGGCGCAGCCATCCAGGTGGAAGTACTCCCGACCGGGCAGGCCCCCGCGGTAGGCATGCTGCAGGAAACGCGGCTCGAGGGCCACTCCGAGCAGCTCCACATCGTAGACACCCCGCATAGTGAGGAAGTGGAGGCAGTTGGTGAAGCAGCGTGGATAGCGCATGATCTCGTCCACACGTTGGCGCATCAAATCGGGCAGCCGCTCGGCCAGGCGCTTCTCCACACCGGACACGCTCTCCAGGTTGAACAGGGCCATAACTAGGCCAATTCGCTCCATGTCCTTGAGCCGGGCTTGGTCCAGCTCTCGCTCGAAGCGCTTGAGGATGCATTCGATGAGTTGGTCGTCGCAGGTCTGCAGCTCGCAGCCGAGCAGAGCCATGTGCAGGCAGGTCAGCAGGGAGACGCGCCCCACCTGCGGCTCCAGGTCGCGAAGCAGCCGGTTCAGCGGCTCCACTTGCGGCAGCTTGCTGCTATAGCGTAGAACTTTCAGCAGGGACACCATCGTGATGTCCTCCACTGTGTCCAGCTCTTTGGTGAGTCTATCGAAGAGCTGGTTGAGCAGCTCAGGATTCCGGATCTGAGTCTGCGTCTTAAAGAAGCCCATGGCCATGACGCCCAGTTCCTGGAGCGTCATCTGATCGATACAGCGTGCCAGATTCATCTCAAAGTCGAACATCTCGAAGACAGGGCGCCGCAGCAGGTTGCACAGGAACATGGACTGGACAAGCTGCTCCGGCGGCAGCTTTCTCAGCTTGCGGCCCAGCTTCTTGAGGGCCAGCCACACATACTCCCCGATTCTGGCCAGTCCCAGCTGGTACCAGGCATCACTCACCAGCAGTAGCTGCCCGGTGGGCCAGCGCTCTATACGCCGACAGCACTCGATGTCCAGTGTATTCCACAGCTCCATGTAATTCCGCGTCTTAGTCGATTCCGGTGTCGGCAGCTGGCCCAGGGCGCGCAGTGTGCCCAGCAGCTGGTCGTCGGACAGATGGTGAGTCTGCTCGCAGTATGTGCGGGCGAACCCATCGAACTGTGGCTCACTGATCTGGGTGTTCGTTCCCGCACAGTGCTTCACCATGGCCAGAAAGTTTGCGTACAGAGCGTCGGGACTGAGGTTCCTGTTCGCCTCTAGGTAGCCCAACAAGCTGACCTCCTGCATGGCACTGTCGACGGGCCTTAGAATATGATAGGGCTTCAGGGACTCCGACAGAATGCTGTGGGCGAACTGATTCTCTCTGTCCACAAAGATTTTCGCCGGCAAAACCACGGACGTGCGAATGTGACGATATAGAAGTCGAGGCGCCTGCTGCCCTACACTCCGACAGAGGCAATTGACCCGTAACCACATGATGCAACTCAAATCAATGGCTTTAAGTCATTGATCTATACTTTTTTTTCCATTAAAGTCGCGTTATGAAATTAGCAAGAACAGATACAGAAGCGAGGTGCAACAGCTGTTTTGAATGGAGCTGCCACATCGCTGGAAATGGTAATGCAAAATAAAAAAATGACTAAAATATATCAATTTTAAATGAAAAGATAAAGAGCAATGTTCAATGTTCAATGTAACCAGATAAGAGCAATTACATTTTAATTAAATAAACTTAACTCACGATTTAACTTGTTTCGGCAGAATAATTAGGTTAGGGCCATATCGTAAAAGCATGATGAATTGAGCGATTGATTAGTTTTTAATCAATTTCCAGTTTTGTTTATAAATTAATCATGTTTTTTTCTAAATTTAAATGGCAATTAAAAGATAATCTCTACGCCAGGTAAGAATTGGAGTAAAACTGTAACAAGTTACATATTTCGACGTGGCGATTTCCACCTTGTAAAGGCTCGCGGCCAAATAATCCCCCTCTACCCAAGGGTAGAGCGGTAACATAAAATCTAAAAAAAAAAATAAATAAATTTACAGGCACACAAATAAACAAATTTAAGACAAGGCACCCTAATCTCTCAAGGGGGTTGAGGTTTGGCACTGGCCGAGGAGAGTCCTCAAGCCAGTTAGCCACCGGCCCTATTCCATAATTTTTACCGACGAGACCTCCCAATATAGCATAAAGCAACTATATAAGAAGATCTCGTCGGAAAAAATTATGGACGCGTGCGAGTGAAAAGTGCGAGTGCACTTCAAACTTGTCCACGTCTGTGTTGGAGAGATGATTGTCCGTTAGATGTAGAGTAAAGTCCGTTGCATTGTTTTTGAATTATCGTTTGTTTTTGGTATTTGTTCGAGATGTCCGAACAGTTGGTTTTTTGTGCGACCTGGGTGCCTGGGAAGAACTCAGCCCTGGGATGACTGGCTAGTCGGCCTTGCCCCAACACCAAAACAGGTTCGTAACAATTTACAAAACTAATCAGAGCTGCCACATGGCTAGAAAAAGGATGAGTCCACGATACCGATATGTGCCGATATTGATATACATCGTTACGACTTACTTATCTCTTTATTTAAATCTTAAAACTGGTTAAAAAGGTAAAGAAAACTTTGAGACCAGTTTCTCTTGACTTTACGAACCAGAGGTTACGTAAAGCTCATTATCCGGAAAACTCAAATCGATATTTTGCAACACTTCAAGGGTTCAGTGTACGAAATTGGTCAAAATAAATTGGTGCTATTGCCAGACTTTTTATGGAAACAGCTGTTGCGTTAGTATGGTTGTTTGAAGCAAGAGACGCCGTAATTTTTTGCGATCGAAAATTTACAACATTTCCTTTCGGTAAAACTCGACTAGTCCTTCTTTTGTTCGGTCAATCTTTTAATTAAGTGAAGTGATATTAGCTTGCTCATGAAAAATGTAAGTGGCATACAATAATACTTGCACTTTTCAATGCAGGCCTTGCCCATTTAGCATTTGCAGCCGATCGCACACAGTCCCGTCCATATTCCATGGATTGTTTACTCACATTCTCTCCAACACTCCAAATCCCACGTGTTGCTCATGCTTTTGCGTGTTCTTTTTATACCGGGTACTCGAAGAGTAATAGGTTATTTCGTATATATATATTCTTGATCAGCATCAATAGCCGAGTCTATGTAGCCATGTCTGTCTGTCTGTCCGTCCGTCTGTCCGTCTTGCTTGTCGGCTAGTTCTCAGAGACTATAGGAGCTAGAGCCACCAAATTTTGTCTCCAGACTGCTGTATGCTCACACTGGTACCAGTGTATTTCGCCCCGCCTCTTCTGCCCCAGAAAGGCAAAAATATTCCCCGCCCAGCAGCTTTTTTTATATTTTGCACATTCTCTCTCACTCTGCTTCGTGTATTGTGCGGCTCTCGGCGAGGGTCGAGCTAAAAGAGCGTGTTTGCGGGAGAAATTATGTAGATGTTGATGACATATGTACATACATATGCAGAAAAAGGTAAAATATGAAAAAAATAAAAAAATAAAAAAAAAACTGTAAGGTAAGACGACTTACTGAGGACCGGGTATTAAAGATGTGACGCGTAAGAAGCGTCTCACAAAATTTTCTTGCGACAGAAAGCGCTAAATATTTCGCTCAGTGCCCTGTGTGACCAAAGTAGACCGAAATGTACGTTTACAAAAGAACACCAGTTAAATATTCAAATTTTGTATTAAATCTGGAGGAGTGTGTTATTTCAGAGCGGATTAGAGCTTGGAGGACAAAAATGCATGGAGCAAGCACCGCATTATTGGACAAGTCCGTTCCGACTTGACAGTCGACAGACGATCAATAGACGAGTCGATAGCGCCATGTCTGTCTGTCTGTCCGTCTTTTTAGTATGCTATTTCTCGGAGACTATAAGAGCTAGAGCCAACACACTTTGGCTCCAGACTGATATATGCTCACACTGAAACCAGTGTATTTCAAAAATTAGCCCCGCCCCTAACGTCCCCTAAAAAGGGCGAAAGCCTCCCAAAGCTACAGTTTTGAAGATAAAAGAAAACTAAAAACGCCATTCCGAAGGGAATGATCGTTTTTTTTAAAATTATTAAAAACAATTATTATTCATAACTTTAAATCTAAAATTTTTGGTGGATTTGCATAGTTTGTCTATAGAGCAGTCTATTGTTCCATTAAAAAAAAAACGAAATAAAATAATAATCATTATTCACGGTCCCTGTAAAAAACATGTCAGTCTCAGATAAAGTCATTATTAATGTTTCAGAGTAGCTCTGAAAATTATGTATTAGTATTAGTTTATGAAAATAGGGGATAAAAATGCCCATACTATACATACCGGTTGTACCTATACCTTTCGGTATATTTTATCGATAGTTCTGCGGTCACACTGCTGCAGATGGGTGATTGTTGTTGTTGACAAATAGACTAATTGTTTTCTGACAAACACCCAAACACTTTTCAAAAGAAGCATTCCGTTGGTGTTCAAAATGATGCAGCCATATCCCGTATGCCCTTGACGGACAATGCCCGGAAAATACAAACTGAGGCTACAAAACCAAAGGGAACTACGTTGATCAAAGTATCCAAGGAAAAATCTTTGATTGTCATACAGGATCCCGTCATCTTGGAACAGGAAGGAGCAGCAACAGGATAATATGCTGAGTGTTAAGCGTGGTAAGCATTTTGGCAGAGGGCTAGTTGGCATTACAGCCACACAATTCTTTCTTTTACAGATGAACAATTATGGGATCTGACGGACGATGAGTCTGTGATGTGTATCGGATCGAGTGGCGAGGACAGCTGCACGGAAGTTACCTCTATCACCATAGACGCTTTTAAGGATAATACATCCTCGGTGGACCGTGTCTCGTCCCAGAACGTCGCTGCCAATTGTGACAGCCCCACAAATGTGAGGAAACCAATGGAGAAATATCTACACGAACGACGACTGATCAAGGCGGTGAAAAAGCGACGTGTTCTCTATGACACCCAACATCCGCGCTTCCACGACAGGGACTTCAAGAACGAAGTGTGGCGCTGCATTGCCAGACGCCTCTCCATGGATATGAATACCTGCGTTGATATTTGGACCGAGCTGCGCTTCGAATTCCAGTGCCACAAGCGTGAAATTTTAAACTACAAGCAGAAAATTGCGAGGCATCGTCCGGCCGGTCGCCGTCCTTTTATGGTGCTCGAGGAGGAGATGTGCTTCATGTATCCGCATGTGGCCAGTTATCCGCTGCTGCGGGAGAAGAATCCAGCGGAGTCAGTCAATGCTCCAGAGCCAACTCCAGAGGATGATGTGGTGCTGGTGAATGCCGCACAGCCAATGGCCATTATCGATTTGGATCTGGACAATGACACTTTCAGGATCACGCCCGTAAAACGTCGTCTAATCGAAGCCGTACGCTACTATCCCCAATTGTATAATGCATCGAATATCAGCTACAACGATTACCGCCATCGCGGCCTCATCTGGGCCGCCATATCCAACGAGCTGGGGGATAAGGCCACCAAGCTAATGAAAAGCTGGATAATTCTGCTGACTCGTTACGAGTGGGAGGTTAGCCGGGGCCCCGACGAGTCGTCGGAGCTTATGAAATTGATGGTATTCCTGATACCGCACATCCCGCACATGAAGGAGTCTGTATATAAGACCTCCAAGTACCTGACAGCTGCCTGGCACTATCCCATCGAGCATTTTCGCAGCGTTGGGAGGCTGATAAAATTGATGAAGGGCAATACGGAGCTGGTCCAGCTCACCGAGGAGTATCTGCACATCAAGAACAAGCCACTAGCGTATCACAATCTTTGGCAGAAGGTCGCCGCTCAGGCGATGAGCACACCCGAAAGCTGTGAGGTTACCTGGTTGGTGTTGCGCTCCTTTCACAGAGAGCTTGTGGAGATGCGTTTGGCCAGCTATAAGCTGAATGACAAGTGGTTCTTCGAGAACACCATCAACGAGATATACAAGACGATCGTTGATCGCACCGTAAATCGTGAGGGCAATAGGCCAGACGAGCATCGAACACCGATGGTCAGAGTGGCCCTGCTGGATACCAGGACGGAGGAGTTGCTAAAAACAGCAAAGATTGCACCACGCAAGTCACTGGCTTTTGTTTATCCTTCTGCTCCCACCACAACCAGTAGCAGCAGCACTTCCACCATCACCAACGCCACATCAGTGTCAAGCAGCAGCAGCAGCACCACCACCACCATAACTTCCACTGCCACCACAGTGCCTAGCACAGTAAGCTCATCGCCCTGCTCCACAATCATGAAGACAGATGGCTTGAAGTTCATGAATACCTTGAGTATGGCAGGGCGAAACAGCACCTTGGTGATGTCCGCAAATACTGCGCCCGGTGTGCTGAATGGTAAGCCGGTGCCCAAAGTGTTTGTGGTTCGTCGCAGTGGGCCGTTGCCAGTTCAAGCACCCGCTCATGAGATACGATCCTTGATGACGATGCAAACAGCGTCTTTGGGATCCCCTGCGACGCCCGTTAGCGTGGCAATAAATCGGGCTAGTGTGCTGGATACACCTACAACGCCATTGACTGCCACATCAAAGGCAGAGACATCCATGACAGTTCCCAGTGGAGCCTTGAAGCGAAAGCGATCGTCGATCACTGTCAATGGGGAAGGCACTGGTAGCAGTGAAACGGGAAAGGAAACTGAAATTGAATCGAATGATCAAAAATTGCCAGCAATAGCCAACACCTGCCTGCAAATGCAAATCATAAGCAAAATTAAAGTTGAACTTTTGGCGGATGGGAATTTTTTGCGTATCCATGGCGGTGCCCTGATCACAGACTACACCTTGCAAAGGGAACGTGTGGGCATGCTGATACGCGAGGTGATGAACATACCGATTCTACACAACAGCAATCCAAAGCTGGCGAGCAAGAAATCCGAATTGTGGGGCAATGTGGCAAGGAAATTTCACATGCCAGGTGAGATAGGAGGCGTTCCCTAATTGGCTGTCCCAAATCTTTGTATTTAAACCATTATTATTTTATCTCTCTTTAGCTGATGCCTGTCGCGCCACATGGAAATTCTTGAGTGAAAACATCAGCCTGTTTCCGGCGATTGCGCCAATGCCATATCTGATGGGTCTCCACAAAGGCTGTGCCAAGAATTGGGAGAAATCCGAATTGTTTTTCAACCTCTTCGAAGAGGTTGCCGCCAAGAAACAATGGATTAAAATCCGGGATCAGCTGCCTCTGCTCATGATGCACTTTCGCATGTACGAGCATTTGTACAGCGACATGCGTAGGCCGCGACCCGGCGAGATCTTAGGAGCGCCACCCAGCTACACCCAGGAGCAGAGCGATGATGTTTGGCGAGTGGCCAAAGCAAAGTTTCCCGATAGTAAGCTGCGATTTTATTTCCCATTTTCTTATAGACTTAACTGATTTTGTGCTTTTCAGTCAATCATATGAAAGTATGGTCCACATTTAAATTGGCTTTTCGCACATATATGGATGATCTGGAGTTGGGCATTGAGAATCCCTGGCCTAGCCTATGGTGGCGGACTTTCGATCAGCTTAGATTCCTTGTGAATGTTCGCTATCATCCGCTGGAACCATACTACTATATAGTCCACACAAAGATCAGGGCGGAGGTGAAGCGTTGCAGTATCTATGAAAAAATGATGACAGCGCGCCAACCCGATCTCAGTCCAAAGTCAAGGGCGTTGGGCAGTCAGGTGCGCATCGACTGGGAACCATTGCCCTGGGAGACCGAGGAGGCCAGGCGTCTGCTGACGGGCAAACTAAGAGCGGACACAGTCAGTCGGCCATACGTTAAGGCTCCACCACCAGCTACAGCAACAGCAACAGCTGCGTCTCCTGCTAAAGTTGTGTGCTCTGCTCCTGCTGCCGCTCCTGCTAAAGTTGCGTCTCCTGCTCTAGCTGCGTCTCCTGAGGCTTATACATGTGCTCCGGTTGCGTCTCCTGCTCCGTCTGCTCCGGGTCAACTGAGAGTCGACACAGTCAGCCCGTACGTTGAGGCTCCACCACCAGCCACAGCAACAGCAACAGCTTCGTCTCTTCCTAAAGCTGTGGGTTCTGCTCCACCTGCATTCCCTGCTAAACCTGCGCCCCCTGCATGTGCTCCGATAGCGTGTCCTGCTCCTGCTCCATCTGGGTCTCCAGCTACTGCTCCCGCTCCGGCTACATCCTTAAGCCTAGCTCAGTCTCTTGTTCTTCCTCGTCCGCTTGTTTTGGTGTCCAAGGAATACAAAGGCGGGACTATGCCTGATGTAAAATGTAATGGCCAACCGTTGCAGACATCTCCAATATTGCAATGTGCAACACCGCGACTTTTGCCGAATTTACCAGCCTTTGAGATGACCACCACGCTGAAGAAATATCCCAATACCTTCAGGCAAGCCACCACCCATGAGAAGCGCACCGCCTGGGTGCAGACTGCCACAGAATTAAATACCTCAGGTATGTAAACACAATTGACAAGCGGCAGCACACAATCAACCTTTGGTATACCCTTCCTTCCTTGCAGTGACTAGTTGCCGCATGAGCATGCAGCATGCGCTACGCGAATCGCGCATCCTGAAAATCGCCGATCCAACGAACCAATGCCAGTTGGGGCAAAGCTATTATCGTCCCATAAATGATATCTACAGCGAGGTGAAGCCTGAGGCACAACCTGTCAGGGACAGTCAGCTGTTAGTGCGTACACCAGAACAGCTCAACCAGACACAGATCGAAGGAGCGTTAGAAACGAGACGCTTTATGCCTGAAATCTCCATGAGCAATTCGCATCCACGGCTGGTGCTCAAGAACTGGTCCCATGCGCTTGCCGCTTTCAGCCCCGAAAGCCAGCAAAAGCTGTTCGGAAAGCTGACCAATGTGTTTGCCAAACATGCGCTGGCATCGAGCGAGTCGATAGCCAAAAACGAAGTCATCGGAGGCTCACACACAAATCACATACATTTTAATTTGTAATTTATTAATAGGAGAGTCATAATTATGTACATGGCTCATGCCATTCTAAATTATACTTATAAATTATATCTTTACTCTTGGCTTAAGTATAATATGTATCCAGAGTCGGGCACACCTTTGGTTTATAAAGTCTTTTTATGTACATATGTACATTCAACCAATGTCTACAAAATGCAAGTTTATATTCTTTTGTTATTAAAAAAGTTGAAATCAAAGTTTGTGATAGTTTGTTATTTTTTCCGCAGTTTCTCCCCAATTTCAACCACCATACCAGAACGACCATCCGTACAATTTGTTGCTCAATCGCTGGTCACCGCCCACTTTTATGGGCAACTACAGAGACATCAAAGTAAGCCCCTAAGAAATTGGGAACGAGGATACAATGGCCCAATATGATGTGTGATTGAAGGGATGAATATGGATGATTGTCCTGCGCTAAACGAAGGATCAAATATAATTGGAATGCACTGTGAAAAATTTAATTGGATGCAGAAATAAAAAAGAAAATACAAGTATTGGAATTTGATTGTTTGCTTTTGCTTTACCAACAGCAACGGGATCTATTCTTAGCCACAAATAAACTGGCAGCATCCTGCCGTGGGGATTTCTCCTCGGTGGGCTTCAGGCTAGGTTTCATGTATCTTCAGCGAGAGTGTGGCAAAGATTTGGTCAACATTAACACCACTCCGGGCAGATGCCTCACAGAAGGCGAGACCCTTGTTGTCGGCAAAAGTGAGTCCCTGCAATTGGCTTATCTTGCGTCTCTTCAGATCCTCGCACTTGTTGCCCACCAGGACAATGCACACATCCCGTTTGCTCTACCTGTCGATCTCATCCAGCCAGCACTGCAAGCTTTGGAAACTGGATGGACTTGTGGTGTCATAGACGAGCATAATGCCCTGCACTTCACGGTAGTAGCTGGGCAGCAGTGGTCGGAAACGCTTCTCCCCGGACGCATTCCAGATGAGTAGCTGAACAACCTGCCCGGCCACCTCAATGTAGTGCATTCCCACCTCGACTCCCACGGAGCTATGGTATTTGGCCGTGAATTGTCCGGCCATAAAACGTTGTAGCAGAGTGCTCTTGCCCAAACCAGAATCGCCCAACAAAAGTATCTTAGAAAGCATCTTGAACAGTTTCAGTTATAGAATTATTCACAGGAGCTCTCAGTCGATAAGGTTAATGGTTATGTCAAAGGTAGCCTGATGACTTACTTGTTCGCGTTTGAAGTTGGATATGTCTTAAAAAGTACCAGCCATCAGTGTTAAGTGTCTTAAAGGCGCTCTTCTCTCGTCAGAAAGATAAATGGATGTATACTTACGACCAACTGTTTCCTGTAAATGTCTATAAAAATTAACATTAAACTGCCAGTGGGTGGTGGGCGGAGGTTCGAGTTCAAACTGCTTCAGGACCCCGCGGACAGCCATCATAATCATTCCCGCATCTGATGGCGTTGGCAATAATGTTTGCTCTCGGTGATTAACGCAATTAAACAGGTGCTCAAAATTATGTTTCCAGTGGATTAGCTCCCCCATGTACGAGCTGTACGAGGGGAGGCTTAGCTTCGGGAGTCGTCGACGAGCAATTTTAGGGGATGGATTGGTATTGGTGGACATGGTGGATCAGGGATGAGGGATGGGAATGCGTACGTCCGCTAATAAGGGTCACATTAGCAACATGCGCCACAAGTTCGCATTATTTCTGAGCAGAAGAATGGGTGCTTTCGGATGTTATGGGATGGTGGGTGGATGGGGATGACGTTAAAATTTCATTAGCATCCCACTGGTAAAGCTTGACCTGAAGCGGTCCACCTTGATGGCGAATGGATGGTTGCTTGGGTGCCTTAATGTGACTGCTCAGGTGTTCGTGGGTATACGTTTCTTATAGTCGGTTCCGTTGTTGCTCTGCTCTGCGCCCCATTCCACTTATGCAATTGCCACTAAAATGGTTTACACACCCTGGACATAATGAGCCACTTGCTCGGAACGATTTACTCAAATTAAGTTCACAATTTCAGCCATTACAAGACGCTTCTAAGGTGTATCAACGGATGCATACCCTAGAAAGCCTTAGATACTGAAAAGCTCTTCTCCCTGACTCTAATTGACTACCCTGGAGAGACTCATCATCTGCTACCCTTAAGAGCGACCCTGGAGAGACCACAAAAACTGCTAATTGAAGAGTTTTTGTTACTGCCTGACGTTGATGTGTTATTCCCATGTTTTATTGTTAAGTAATACAAAGAATAAAAACAAAACCAAAAGCCCAACAAACAATAAAAAGTAAACTATTTAATGACAGTCGGTCGGAACGGCAGCAGCCCACACAAACGTCCCAGAATCGGATTCAGAATAGGCCTCAGACTCTCAGAATAGTTCAATGGATTGCTACTGGGACACAGACCAGAAATAAGTATGTACGTATTAAAAGTGAATAAAGGTTGAGGCATACGACAGAAAGATACCCTGTAGGGCAGTATGTATTACCTTAATATTCGAATCTTTCTCTTATTCATGGACTACCTTGATGTCAAGCAACGCGTTGCGCGATTCACAATATTTTCGACTGCATTTGCACTTTGAAAGTTTATTGGATCATGCAAAATAATTAATGGAAAAGAGAAGTGGGTGTACAGCAGAGAGTGCCATGATCCTGATGCGCTGTTAGTGCCCATCCAAGTGCGTGCATACCTCTCTGCCACTCTACACGGCATGCAGCGCAACAACAACAACAATACTAAACAGAGGGGGCAAAAAGAAAAAGAGAACACGCCCCGCTTTCGGGGACGGACGAGTAAAAAGTAAACAGAAAAGCCATTAACGGTTACAACAACACCAGCAGCTCTTATTGTTGCTGTTGTTGGAGTTCTTTTTATTGGAATTGCTGTTTGAATAGAGCATGAACAAAAAAACAATTACCATTTCGCAAAAACAAAGATAATTTGCGAATGAGATCGACAACTCGATACAAAGGCGAGACATGGCAGGAGGAAGCCTTGAGAGAGTGAGAAGGGAAGAGAGAGGAGTACTGGAAAGAGATCAGCTGGAGCAACACAGAACATTGGAAAAGAAAGTTGCTGGAGTGCTCAAAGAGCGAATGAATGTGCCTCACCTTGTTCAAATCATAAAGCAACTATATAAGGAGGTCTTGTCGGCAAAAACTGTGGAAAAGTGCGAGTGAGAAGTGCGAGTGAAAGGGCTCTCGCTGTAAGTGTGAGGGCATATAGTTTCTTTATGCTTATATAGTTGCTTATGGTTCAAATAAACCTTGTGGAGCAGAAGGAGCGATCCACATCTCTCTATCTCTCTCTCTCACATCAGCTGCTCTCTTCCACTTTAAATCTTACTTATTTGAGCGACAAACAAAAAGCCTAATAAACATATTCCATCAAGAGTTACCATTGCCTGAAGTATCTCAAAGTACAAAGTTAAAAAATATTCTGTAGATCACTTTTGGTACTTTTATGTGGTCTCAATTGAATCATCGATAACCTTTCGCATTCGAAGCTAATAAAAATATGATTGAGGTCAATGCCAAAAAGCCGAGCACGTTGCAACAACCTACAAATACAATGTCAGTGTAAAGTGTCAACAGTATTCAGAGTTCGGCCTGAAGTGTTGACCCCAAATTCGGTGGCAATTGGGCTCTGAACTGAGGGCAGGGGTGGGTCTGACCCGATGCACCGACCCAGTAAAGTGCGTAATCCACAAAAAATCAGAAACCCACGAAATGCAAGAAAAAATAATAGAGAGGAAAACCAAAACAAATCTGGTTTAAGACGTGACTTGTTTATTACGCCCAACGAACTTTCTATGGGAAGGGCCGCCATCGCCACCGCCGCCGCCACTTGGCACTTGGATAATCTTGGGTACTTCACCGCAGGGCCGGAGAGCATCCCAGCATTCAGATTACAGAGACAAAGATATTGAGGAAAACATGGAAAAAGTATCCGCCGTACCTCTTCTTCCCATGGAAACAAAAATCTGATTTGGACCGATTTTGGATGTATGGATTGGGGAACTGATTCTATGGGAATATACACCAATTATAGATAAGGGAGATAGATCTACTTTGCAGTATTATTAATCAAAACTTAATCTAAATAAATCCACATCCTTAGGCAATCTTCCTCAAAAATATATAAAAATGCTGTGGGAGAGCTAGACTGGGATTCTAAACATTTCGAAAATACTTTCGCCAATTAGCAATATCTCCAAACTGGCAAATATACATGTAAACGATTTTCAGCAGAACATTTCGCTTTCAACCGATTTTCAGCTTATGTTGTCATATTGTGTGTAATATCATAACTTTGGAAAAACAGTGCGCCAATCTTCTGCTGCTGATGCTGCCTGGCTGATTTTATAGCCTTCCAGGCGGAGGGTATTATTTCAATGAGGATATGTTTGCCATGCGCCAGAGAAAGCATCTTCGATTACATATGAAAATATTAATAGGAACTGATCGAAGCTTTTAGCAGTCTCTTGTTTATATTTCATAGTTGCAGTCACAGATAGCATAACTGTTTCCCTAGCAATGGGTCTGGAAGTGTATCAAAAGCTTCGCCTTTCGATGCTCATGTTACTCACTTGTTGTTGCTGCTATTATCGCACACACAAAACACACTGCTGCTGCCGCTGCTGCTGCTGCTTCTGCTCTGTCGTGGTTATTCGTTTTGTCTGCGCTTCGTTTCGTTACTTTTGCTTTGCTGTTTCCATGAAGAAACTATATAAGGAGGTCTCGTCAGAAAAAATAAGCAGAACGTGGAGTGAAAAGTGCGAGTGAGAGGGCTCTCGCTGTAACGGCAACGACAATGGAGTGTGCTGATTAACCCTTTGAAGGCAATGTGAAAAAAACATAATAATTGTTTCATAATATAATTTTTAATAGTTTGCTACATGATAGTAGTCTTTGTTGTGAAAAAATAAAACCATTTTGAAAAAATTTGAAAAAAATTTCCGCACACCAACCTTCTGCGTCGACAAGCAAACGATCACTGAGAATTAGGAAAAGCAGCCAGTAACTCTGCCACCGACGAGGCCTCCTTATAGTTTCTTCATGGTCACTGACGCAGCCGCAGTTGCTGTCGTTGCCTATCTCAGTCGCTGCGCCGCCGCGGCGGCCGAAAGAAACCGAAACCGAAACGGTCATTATTAATTCGTACGTACTCGCCGTCGCAGTCATAGTCGCGGTCGCCGTTTTGCGGTTGCGGTCGCAGTCGCCTGTCGTGTGTGGTTTTCCCTCTCCATCCCATAAGAACCGTTGCAGCCCGGCGTTTCGTATTTTGTCGCAGAAGAAGACCAGAAGATTTTCCCCGCGCTCAGATCAATTCATTCGTTTGTCGTCGTCGCGCTTAATTAAATACTCTTATTTTTTTTCCCCCTACTTATTATTTTGTGTTGTGTTGTTCCGACATCCCAATTATATATAGCTTAATTGTTTAATAGCAACCACAGCAAGAGCACAAAGAGCAAAAATAAGTAAAGTTAAGTGCGAAAAGTAAAGTAAAGTGAAGTTTCAGTAAGTGAGTGAGTGTGAGTGATTGAGTGCGCGAGTGGTGCTGCCCCTGTGTGTGGGTAAACAATTGGAGCAGCACAGAAGAAGGCAACCCCCACCGCCCCTCACAAGTGGACATTGGACATACACAATACGATCGCCCAGAGGGCTATTGCTTGTGCACCAACTCGGATTTCTGTCTAGTACCTGGTGCCGCCTTTTGCGGCAAGTTCAAGTTCAAAGAGAGGAGAGAGCTTCTTTATCGGTAAGCATACTCTCAAATTGACAGCGCCCACAACTTTACATGAGGGGGCGGTGTTCTCTCTTAGTCTCTTTCTCAGTCTTCCTTTGAGCATGGCGCTCTCTCTGGAAGCAGCGTGCGTGTGTGTGTCTCTCTCTTTTACTTTTTGCGTGCATTGCACCTTTTTGGGCCGTATTCCTCTTTGTGTCGTCGTTCGCTTTCAATGCATTTTGACAGTGGGAATGGCTAATCGTTCTGGCATTTTGCATTCTCCACGGCCGCCACTTCTGCCGCCACTACACCCTGCGCACATTCCTTCCACCGTTTTTCATATCCTACTCTCCCTCTCCCCACCTGTACTCCACTGGCACTCTCTGACATGCATTCGCAT